ATTAGACCAATCCTAAAAGTCTCGAAATTCGAATAAAACGAGCGTTTATCTTATGCGCTTGCGAAAAGACTATAGTGAGACATTGCAATTAGTGACTCAGTCGATCGACTATTTAATTGCAACGCGAAAGGCGGCGGATTTCCATTGTCCGATCAAGATACGCGTGGCTCTCCCAGGAATTGCACTGCCGGCAATTTAAGCGCCTTTTCAAAGTACGAAGGGGGTCGTGTCGCCGGTAATTAACCGGCGCACGTCGGGACGCTCCAGAGAACGAACAGCTGCTATTTCTTCGTCGGCGCCTGGCAGTAATTAACTCTCTTTAATGTCCGATAAACCGGTCAATACAAATTCGTTACGTCTACCGACACGCGAAACCCCCGATTACATGGACGTGACACTGTTAATGTCTCGAAGAGAAAAAAAAAAATAGAATGTTTCCACCGTGTTTACACCGCCACTTAAATCTGATCTTATCGAGGTGTTTTATCTATAAGATTACGAATCTTGTCACGCAAGTTCAATCATGTTGAACATGACACCGAGAGAGATGCGACATTAAACGTACGATTATAGAATTTAGATACGATGACATTCCGAGATCTGTGTTTATTTATCGTTCGCACCGATATTTGTGAAAGATTTAATTTGAAAAAATTTAATTTATTTAAAAAGTTCTCTGTCAATCTTTTATGAACTATATAGAGACTAATGCTACTTCACTCATGTATAAATAGTTGAACGTTAAAACCGGTCTGAAAGCTTTCGAGATTTACATTTTCGTGTTGTGTATCGACTTGCTGTGTCTACACACAGGACGCAACGTCGAATCACCAGCGGGCGTCGTGCTAAATGCGTTAGCGTGTATTTGCTTACTAGTTAAACGGCTGCTGATATTTGCTCCCGGGACCTTGAAGTGCATTCGAGTGTACGCAACGCGACGATGTAATCACTGGTCCCCGTAACGACCTGCAAATAAACCGGCTACCATTATCACGCAACCTCGGGAAAGGAGGCGAAAAATTAATTCGTGTCATGTTCGAAGTCCGCATTCTTGCTTCTCCCGTTTCGTAATTTATTATTAACAATAATTTGCCGGAGGTTTATGCAAATCGATCGCGTCACACCTGCGTGCGAATTTCTTACATAACGCAAGACACCGAGTTTCCCGATCGCCATTCACGTAACGTCTCTCGGTTGGAAACAAGAATCTTTGCACGCGTTTTATGCACACTCGTGCGAAAAACTCTTTTCTCTACGCTTCCATCTCTATTTACTTGTACAGAAAAGAATTTTAAAGACAACTAAGAAATTATTTGAAAATCTTGTTAATCTTCGTACGACGTAAAGAGATTTAAAATCTCATTAAACAAAATCCATTTTGCATCTCAAATGAGTATTTTCTACACGTACTTGGCATCATAAATGGCGCTCGCGGTTAGCTTTCCAGATTATTTTGCGTGAGAATTGCCCGAAAATTTATAGCCGTTGGTGGACGCTCCACTTTTTCCCTTTAGGTTGCGATGTAGAGGGAATGTAACTCCGGACTGGTGAGATGCGATAAGAATTGTTACATCTCGAAAGTACCTCTAGGTGAATTCAGTTCGTGCGAGAATACAAAAGACTCCATTTAAAAATTGAAGCGCCCTCAAGTTCCTGGCAGCGTAGCAAACTTAGGCGCGATGTACGTCACTAAGTGCTTTTGTGTGCTCGGAAATATCGAATTTTAGAAGATGACTCCTTTTTTCAAAGAGCAAATAGAACAGTTAATTATCACGTAAATATGTAAAGAACAACTAAATTATACATCTTTATTATCCTTTAGCGATACTTTGAAGTAAAATTGAAGGAAAGCTAATATTGAATATTTAAATTAAATTTATAATATTAATATTAATTAACATAAGTGATAATATTTTACTAAATTTTAATAAGTAATTACATTAATATTAAGTATTCAAATGTTTTTAATAAAAGATATTTGATGTTTAAAATAGCGTCTTTGTATCCTGTTGTCTTCTTCAGAGACAAATAAAATCCGTAAATCTCCGTCGGTTGAAAAAAAACAGAATTTCTCGTCGGCGAACGCTTTTACGTAACGCCGTTTGCCGTTGTACGGTGCAGGTGTAGTTAGGTAGCGATGCGGTTTATTCGCGAGTCTTACATCGATAGCCAGTAAATCGCGAGATTATGTGGAGCCACGGTGCTGCTCGACGAACGTGGCCTCGTCCTGCAGATGCGAGAACTCGCGTACTCATGTTTATTCCCGCGCGGCCATTTCCTTTTATCTCGCTTTGCATTTCCGCTTTGCAGTTTCGACCGCGTCTAAATTTGCGCGAGACGTCATTCGCACTCTCGGTGACATAGCAAACACAATTTTGATTCACTCTCTCGCGCCAGCTTTGAGAAGTGACTTAATCCCGCGAGAAAACAATCTTGAAACGTGAAAATAATCACAGATTCCGATCGAAACTTTCTAAAGATGCTATTCGACGCTAATACTTCTTATCTGCATGCGTTGCGTAAACAGTTCTCCGAGATTTAATAGAATAATCAGTCAATTTTTGAGGTCTACTTTAGACGTAATCTTTAAGATAAATCTTGCGAATTATGTATGAAAAGAATATTTCTTTTAAGTATTTGAAAAAAATTTGTATACATACTGATCTGAAAATATAATTTTGTTGGGCCATCAAAATAATTATATAAGACGTTCAAATTGATTGCTAGAATATAAAAAAATATTTGCAATATCGTGGTTAAATATTTTTAACGGTCAAACAAAATTATTTTTAGATCTTTAGATATTTCAGTAAGGTCATTCTTGCTCTATCCTTTTCCTAAATATATGCAATTTTCTGTCTTGTCTATCGTGATTGATACTGACGTAGATTAATGAGAAAATTTTTTTTCACTTCCCGGTAGAGCAGCAGTGTAAATGACTGCACTTTTGACAAGCCGACATAAGACTGATGATTATTATGACTTCACACGTGAACCGAGGAGCATACGAACATTTTTAAATGAGCCGGACTCTCCTTTAAGCGAGACTCTTTTCAATCGTCGCGAACGCCTTCAAAAGTATACCTCCGGCATCTTTAAACCACAAAGATCCCAGACTCTTCGTGTCCCTCCCTCCCCCCCCCCCGCACACCCCCGCGTTTCTCTTCGCGATGCGCGAATCGGAGATTTTATCTCGGCGTTTATCGCTCGCCTCACCCTCTCTGCTCTCATTATCCCCCGACGTCTTAATAGCGCGAATTTAGCGAGAATTTCGAGAGCTGTCCTCGTAAGAACGGCCATCGACGGTGAACGACAATGTCGCCATCATAAAATGCTTTCTCCTCACCATAAACGTCTCGCGTTATCATCGTTAGCGTTTCTCATCCGTCGTTCCGCATCATTATCCACCGCTCGATACTTTAAACTACATCACACTCCGCTATAGGAAGTGAGATCCGCCGACTCGGATTATTATCTTCCTACTCTTTATTTTTTCACTTAAAATCCGCGGAATTAGAGCCTAAGTACTCTTTTCCTTCATTTCTTATACAAGAGGTAATTTAGTCTTTTTTTTTCCCCCTTCTAAAAGCTATCGATGAATCATTGCCGCATTAAATTAAAAATAGTTTCACCTCTCTCGCTGCGTTTATTTTAAAATATTATTCTTCCTTAAACACGCTTTAAAAACTTTTTAAATTTTAAATATGGTAATTCTAACATTTTAGACATAAAACTATGTAAATTTTGTACATTAGTTATAAATGTAAATATTCAAATTATGTTACGCAAGTAATTACGTGTGATATTTTTTATTTTTTCTCTTTTAAAATTTTAACATTTACATTTGTAAAACAAATTTCCCAGTTTGCAAATCAATCTATTATAAATAAATCTACAAAAATAATTCAATTTCCGTTTTTTCCATTCAACTTTTACGGTTCAACGTTAGATTTTAATTATCGAGCAAAATCAGCAATAAGTTCCTCGCACTATAAGAGCGAAATCCATCGAGTCTCGAAGTGAATTACGCTGAAGATATACGTTTCATTCGGAAGACATGAGCCTGCATATCGAATCTTTTCAGCGTGCCCGAGTTCCATCCAATTGAGTCGGTGAATGTCTCCGCGTAATGGAAGGAAGAGACCCTTTCTGCGAAATGTCGAAGTTCAACCACCCGCATTTACCGTAGACATGTATACCGTATGCCTGATACGCAACCCTTCGTAGCCCTAGCCTTTACCTACATGCGTTGCACGATTCGATACTCGTCGGCATAATGCAATTTCTTCATGGCACGTGTGGGTGTTCTGCCTCGTTTACCATCGACATCTCGACTTTATTTGCGATTAGAAAGGATATGCGGAAAACTTCCTCGCGTTTAACGACGAGACGTATTCCGGAAATTTGCCCTTCCTCCATTCGACGCTGTCACGCGATTCTCGAAGATTGAAATGTTGTAAAGCTAATTCTAGACATTTCGGCTTTTTAGGTATTTCGCGGAGCTAATTTTAAAGTTGCGAATTATCTTATATTGTAATTTAATTTAATTTATTAGCTATAATTTAGCGGTAGCAATTTAAACAAATTTTAAACAACTTACAATTTGCCTGTGCGTCAAAGTAAACAGCTCATGAAATTACAAGAATTTTATTCTTGTAATTCCGATACAGATTATGGGCCGTCTAAAAACACGCTTTAATCAATAGACTGAAATTAAATTCAAAATTTAGGTGGTATAATCCAAAATAGTAACTTTAATTAAATTTCCTGCCTTCTGTCTTCCACGGGATGACACCAGTTGTTCCATTGCGAGGGATTGATGCGGCTACTAGAATACTAATACCAGCGCAAGATGCTCGAAACGTTCGGAACTGTATGTCATTAAACGACGACCATTTTTAATTAAATTTTTATTCACCGCCGTAATACGCTCGCGTGTTCAATAACTAACTCCGCTGCGATGGACAAAGTTGTTTTATATGAAATAATTTATTTTGCAGCTGGAGCCGCTCCTGAGGAAACTAACCAAAGGTCCAGTTCTGCACACAATCGCCACTCTCTCACGAAGGGTAAGTTTGACGAATACAATTGATTGCATTTAGGGTACTTTTTGTAACGAAAGCTCTACAATCTATTGTGTAGAAAAGCCGCATTGTATCTCAAAATGGACAATTAAACAGTTTCAACGCTTAACAACGCATAGAGATTCTCATTTAATAAATAAATTAAATTATAAATAATAAATTAAGTTATAAATAATAAGTAAAAATTATAAAATTATAAATAATTTAATAATTTTTAATTTTCTAAATTTCCTTGTGAAAATATTAGATAAGCCAGACAAATGATTTCATTAGAAAAATAAAATTGATATAACGCGGTGTGTTCGCAGATTAATGCTTTAGAATTTAATTTTTATTTAGCTTTTCTCTATCTTTTTCTCTCCCATATTCATCTGTCTTAATGTATCCTAGAGTGCTGTAGAGTTTTCGTCGAAACTCTAAAGCACTGACTCGAGAACTTTTCATTACTTCGTAGCGAATGTGACGCTCGATGTGATATCTCTCACGGTGGCTTTTTGACATTTACACGGCGGATTTGGACGCGATGCACTTTTTAATATCACCCTGTGTCTACCACCGTTTCTGTGAAACGCTTGAGAACACAGTTTGATCATTTATTTGTGATACAAATAGTGACACAGACATATGTACATACGAGCATACAGGCTGGTTTTTATTTCAAAGACCTAAAAAATATTTAACATTTCAAGTACGTTGTGTTTTTAAAATATAGAAAATACGATGGAAAATCGCTCGAAATGAGAAATATAATATGTTCTCTTGGATTAATTGCTCTCTATTTGTTTTAAATGTTACGTGCTTAACGCAAATTACGCTAATTTGAGTTATAATAGTTACAGATAATTTATTTCATAAAATCCCTTGTTTTTAAAGTAATTAAAATCTCACTTTGTAAAATTGCGAGAGTAATCAGATCGTGAAGTATATCTTATGTGAATTCGGGATCTTCGGCGACTTTTCGTAGGAACGTTTGTGGAATTACCGCCGATATTCCGCAGTCGATAACGATATTAATCTCGCACGGAAAACCACGTCACTGCTTTCCAATCCGCGGTGCGGAATTGAGAGCACTATCGAGTCGCAATGGATCCGAAGTACGACTTCTGGGTCGCAGTAGATAACGAATGCAATTCTATCGGCAGTTCGACCTGCGAAACGGTCAAATGGATTTAATAACGCTTCAATTACATTCCGCGCTTTTGTGGGAGAAGCCGCTACTTTAATCAATTGTAAAAAAAGCGCCCGTGAAACTGATAATAAATCCTTCGTACGACGATAAAAAAATCAGGCATGTGGCAACACACGTCAAAAATTGAATTTGAAATGAAAGACACACGGTGCGTAATTTATTACACGGTTGTGTAATTAGACACGTCTCAGTGACTGGCATAATTAAATTCGGACTAACGAGGTCCATGCGTCGGATGCGAATGTATATGTGTAACTTGCATGAACAATTTATTTAATATGAAATATTAATTTGTATTTAATTATATATAATTGAGAATTTAATGGAATTTCTCTCTTATTTTAATAGCTACGACAAAAATGCGAAATAAGAAAATGGAAAAATGTGTTCTCTCGTGACAGAAAATATTTGTATGTCTTTCTTCGACTCACTTTCTCTCGTTTAAGAATTAACGAAGTAGTTTGTGAAGTATTTAAAGTACCTTTGTTTAAAGACGAAGAAAATTATCGAGAATTTATATTCGAAATATAAACTTCGTGCTCGAGAAGCACGCTCGTTCATTAAATATTAGTCAACTCTAAAGCATGAGAAATGGGGACAATTTCGATGGTTATCCATGGTTTTTAAATTTACCTACTCATTATTGCTACGATAAATTGAAAAAGTTTCTAAGAATATATTTCAGTAAAAATATCGTACGATTACCAAAGAGAATATTAATCTTGAATAAGAATGAGAAATTAAAACGCCAATATAAACCAAATATTAAAAATCATAAGTAACTTAAAATAAAAATTAAAACTTCAAATTGATAAATAAAAATTTCCTTCCAAAATTTGTCCTTCCGCCTAGATTACTTATTCAATAATTAAAAACTATTATCAAATATCTTTGTCGTATATTCCTGTCCAACCTGTTTACCTTTCGTATAAATATCTTCGCGATAATAATCGCTTCAGCAAACACGAAAAGCACGATCGTCGATGAGAAAACTCTCGTTACTCGCGGAAACACCTCATAGATCATTCACATGGCTTAAACCAACGGGTATCCATTCGTATTCTACACCGCCACTCGAGCGAAGGTTGGCGAGATAGAATAGTCGAGTGGATGAATGGAGGATTCGAGAGGAAAACCCGGGGACGTGGAAAGAAGCGAGGAGGAGAAGGGCTCAAGAGAAGACAACCTCGGCGGCATACAAGCAGCGAGAGATGGGAGCGACGGATCCCATTGTTTTCCGACCCACTTCCAGACGAAGGGAGATTAACAGTGCCGTGTGTATCCATCGGCGGATTTTCCAGGATTTTTTGAGTCTCCAAGACGGCGACGACGACGACGACGACGACGACGACGACGACGAAGAAGATTGCGACTACAGCTGCATGATAGACACACCATCGGCTCGAACGGGCGCATCTCTCCGGGCGACTGTGTCTCGTTCGTTAAATTATCTCGGTTACCTCATTGTCTCTGCATATCCTCGGGACTCGAAATTGCGGACACGCCTATCCGACTCGTAATTACGGACACGTCGCTGCAAGCATCGTCGCAAGAATCGGAATTTTAACGAACCAAAACATTATTGCTCTAACCACTTGCTTAAAACAATAATAATAATGTTGTAGAAAGTTTGTTGTGTTAAGAGATACTCTATTGCTTCATTCGTTGACGAATATTTTTTGAACGGGATTTTGTTAAACGATCCTGCGGGACATGGAACTTTTTTCTTTGATGTTCTGGAAATTTGTATGTATTGTGTCAAGGTTTCTGTGTAAGTTTTTTCGGCGTTTTTTTGCAGTCTCTCGGCATTTCCATTTCTTATTTAATTTCAATTTTTCGCGCGCTATTTAATACGACTGCATTGTTTTTTTTAATCGTTATATACCGTTCCGTTCGTCGAATGCGAGAGAATTAACGGAGATATTGTGTGGACGACAGCTTTCAGAGAGATGGATGGATCGGGACGCATTGTGCGTTTCCGAATGACCGAAGATTAACAGCTCCAGGGACTGCAATACCAGACGGTGCATTTTGCATTCATGTTCTCGAGGAAATGCTATTCCAACGATCATTATCTTCGCCGCGAATGTCTTTCGAAGTTGCTCGTTTTCCACGTCGAAGGAAAAAAATCTTTTCATCTGAATGAAAAGAAAAGAAAAATCAATTTGTGCACTTTGTAGTACGGACTTTTTCTTTCGCTGTTTTTCTAAAATGTGTGTCGCATCACGCGCACTCTAGTATTGTCCATTCGCTCCTAAGATATCAGCTTTTGATTAAATACTGAAAATTGTAACTTACATTAAGTTACAACTTTAAAAAATTTTATTCGCGAAAATGTGACACGATGACACACAGATGCGAGCGATAAAAAGTTTCTGTTTCAATAATTCATGATCTTGCAAACTTGAAATATAAAGTTTGTCAATTTTCTCATAAATGAGAATTAGATGAATAGACACGACAGTATCAAACTTTCGTACGGTGATTTTTTTCCATGTTGCTCGCATCACTTTTTTTTATTTTTTTACTTTTCAAGCGCGCCACTCGACGTCTTCGGAGATGCCGCTTCGCCGAGTATCGAATAGAATTTCTTCAACGATTCGATACGAATTCGTCTTCCAAATTACATTTACGCGCGAGTGACTGTCAGCAGTTTCCTACGTTTGGTAAAAGGAGAGTAAGTCCTCAATTACTGCCACGTATGTTGTTTGAAAAAGCCAGAGCTGCTTTCACATCGTCGGAGAATCCTCTTCTACATGTTGCGATATAACTCGATATTCCTGACGTCGAATCGTCTCCTTTTCATATCGTCTCTTCGGCATTTTCCCTCTTCCTCGTTCCCGTTCGATTCCACGTTCGCGTAACTAATGACATGTCCAATTACCATCAGCGGTAGGTTTACCGTTTCCTTCTTCCTTGTCCTCGCGCCATTTCGCCCTTCCCTCGCATCTGGCATTTGCAATCAGCGGTCGGAAACAATATTGGCAGCTTGGCAGTCGTTCCCGTGGACGTTCCCGTTCTGTTGACGCTTGTCGAAAACGCATCATCGGCGAAGGATGAAAATAAGCCAGCCGCATTGCAATTAGCGAGAGCGGAGGAGAGAGTGGGGAGGGAGGGGGAAGGTGCTTTTTGAATCGGATTCACGCGGTATCGATGAACAGCGAATGACTTTATTGGCACTGATTGTATACGCGAGAGATAACGAGATGTCGATCAATATCTCGACGCTCGACGCAATTCCGAACATGAAGTTTTATTAATGAATAACGTCATCGCGCAAATAAATATATTCGGTTTTACTCGTCACGAAATAAATACCGCATCCCCTCAAAGAACACGCCGTATAATTAGATATTTAATTTCAAACGCTCCTGTGCAGATGTAATAATATCGTTTAATAATCGCATAATTAAATAAATCGCAGTCTCATGCAACATACGTGATATCGTCAGCTTTCGATAAACGATATCGATTAAAACCAGCCGATGCTGTTTACTCGATACTTACTAATGCACTTTGATATTACCGATCGTTAAACACGCATCTTTCCCCGACACAATGTCACACTTATCGCGCGACGAGTATTACGAACCGCACTTTGTAACAGAGAGAATGTGTATATCTTCAAATTTGTCTTCCGCAGAGCAAACGATGCACTGGTTCGCCCAGATTGGTGGTGACAACCCCCTCGTTTTGTCAGGTATGCTCGAGTTGAGCTCGGTGTGCTTCGATAACGATTGTGTAACTTGTGTGTGTGTGTGGAATTCTGCAAATCGACGCGTTTGATGTGTTTGACGCGCCAAAGATCCAAGACCGAGATCGCATCCCGACTTACTACAGAGTGCATTTTCTGCGCGAAAACACATCTGATCTTTCGGAAACAATTGGTTAAAAAAGAGATATGTATGTCATGAGAAATTCTAGTTACGTTACCCGAAGGATCCCGTAATTTATGTTGCCAACGAAAGTTTAATGTACCCTAATGTGATAATTTCAGTGATAACATTTGCAGTTTGAAATTGTGATAACTAATATCTACGCTGTAATTAAAAGGGTCAATGCTTATCTATATACACCTGTATTCCTGTATACACGACTTTATTTAACGAAGAACGTGATAGACCACAACGTGATATAGAATTCTGTTTGCACGAGGATCGAATTTTTAACCAACTGTTAGCATGGGAATCGCAATCATATCTGTATAAAAAAAAAATGTATATAAATATGTGAATATGGATCGTGACATAGATTTGTTCTTCTAACTGCAAGTCGTGGAATGATTTTCTGTAACTCTCAATTAATTTATTAGGTCTGTCAAATTGCTGCCAGGCTATTTAACAAAGTCGACGTTAAACGTTTTCATTGATTTCTCTGCCGACGTGTACTATTTGCCACGATGACAAATCAAAAGTCATAAAAAATGAATTTATCTTACACAACGCAAGTAACAATGCTAACGAATCGTGTAATTTGGCAATTATATAACGAAGCGTTCGACGAATAATAATTAATACTTTTCTACTTGAACACTTTTCTACTTTCTCTTGATATGTTTAATTTAATAGACAATATTGGAAGAATATGTTGCAGCATATATATATATTAACATTTTAAAATATAGTTACCCTTTGTATGTATTCTGTTTAAATAATATAAATATGATAAATTATAAGAATACTCTTTCTTGTATATCATAAAAATATTAAGCCTGATTTACTTCGCGGAGTAAAATATATTTTCTTACAAATCTTGACATAGTTTTTCATATCTTCCTAATTAATGTTTCTTTCTGTATTATCGGTTTATGCTGGACGTTACAAAATTTTTCTCATAGCACTATATCTCTTGATTCATGTATAGATAATAACAGAGACTGGCTAAACATGACATACAATTTATCTGTTATCATGCAATTTTCAACCGGTCTAAGCTTCTTAGTGAAGCTCACATTTTTAATATCACATTAAATGAAAAAGATTTTCTTTTTACATCGTAAGAAATGATAACCCCGTTTTTCACTGTGCTTCTAAAACGAACATCGTCGGAAAAGCAGATTTTATTCAGCGGTCTTTTCTGGCGGTCTCATTATCCTTCCCGAAGAAATTAAGAAGCAGATAAGGATTACGGGATAGAAATCGCTTTAAAAAAATGAATATCTCATAAGATAAAATAAACACACTTTTGAAAAGATTATTAAACACAAATCATGAAAAAAGCCATGAAAGAATATATATTAATACTGATATTAAAAGAATGTTATGTTAATTATATTAATATATCTAACATAAATTTACTTTATAACGTTACTTTATTTATTTATTTTATACCGCTTTGTTTTTTTATTGTTTGGAATTTCGTGTTTTCGTACCAAAAGTTATCGGGACCTATCGGTGTTAACGTTATCACGATTTATCCATTATTTTTCTTGGTTGCAACACCTGTCCTCGATCTTGCAATAACCCAAGCAACACATGCATGCAAAACTGTTCGCTTTAACCGCGCGTGCACAGATTTGCATATATTATTATATCACTACACACGGCAGATGCATATCGTAATATCCATTTGTTCATTCATTCATTCATTCATTCATTCATGCATTCATTCGTACGTGCTGTAATCTTAATACTCGAATCTTACATGCACACGCATATGTCTCGCTTTCTTCTCGGCAGATGTGAAGCGCCCGCGAAGTCTCTACGACGAGGACTCCCTCGACGGCGATCGTCCTTACGAGAATGAAGGTATCAACGTTTTCAAGGGCACTGTACAGACCGTTCCCTTTTTCCTCTTCATCAGACTCTTATTTTTTTCGATAACACTAACAAGCCAGCAATGCCTTTTAATGCCTTTGTCATTTTTATATATATATATATATATTTGTACCTTTAATGTCTAACAATTGGCAATTATTAGTCACATTAATTTTGCAGTATCTTGATCTTGAATAATAAATAAACTTCATTTAATTGTTTCTAGTATCGCGCCTTGCATTGTATCATGTTCTCTGAATGAACTTATTTCATTTTGTAAATAGCTATTTTTATTATTATCTTGATGTATTATATATAGAGTCTTCCTTTTGTTAATAAGAAGAGATTAGCATATTCCCATAATTATCTAATATTCTCATATATACACATATACACACACACACACACACACACACACACACACAACCACATACATTTCTATCTCACGAATATAATTCTGTATATACAATTAATTATTTATAATAGCATTTGTTTTGTGGTAATCTATTAATAGTGTTACTTTCGAGACGATTGTTTTAATACATTTACCTTTGCATTACATTTACCTTGAAAATTGTTTGAGATTTTTTTTATTATTTATTTTTAATTGCAATTTCCTTCCTTTCTTTTTATTTTGATCTCTTTAAATTGTCTCGATATTTAAATTTGCTTAATTAAAAATTCTCACTACTAAATATATCGCTTAATCAAATAAAGTGTAATAAAAATTTTTTCGCGTAATACCAAAAGAAAAGATGCGTTTATCTCTAACCGAATTCACTTGTTTGCGATAAACGGACAGTGCAAACTAAGCATTTGCAACGAGTTTGGACAGGCGGATACTGATGCTTGCCTCGCGTGGCTGTTTGTAGGACGGGAGTCGACGGGAAGCTCGAAAGAGTTGGACAGGGCGAAGCTCGTCCGCGAGAGGCAGAACGAGGAGCGGCAGCGGAAGTTGGAGGAGCTCAGGCAGCAGGCTCTCGCCGCGCAACGTTTCCGCGAGCAGCGCGAGGAGGAACGACGAAGACGCATCGATGAGCTCAGATCGCGCGATAACGACAGGTTTGTTCGAATCGAGTTTTCAAGACACGACTAATTCAATTTCTCGATTAAGACTCGATTCTCTCGCGACGCGACGGGGGTTGTGTGACGTCAGAGGCGAGAAATGACATGTAAAAAG